GCTTGTGGACTAGAATCTGGATATTCTGGGGCAGTGATGCTCTGTATTCTTGGTGCTTGGGGGGCAGCAGTGGGAAGGCTTCTGAAGTTCTGGCCCCACTGCTGGACCTTCTGATGGCACCTGGTATTTTTGGCCACTGTGTGACAGAGTGACGGACAGGATGGGCCATTGTCCTGATCCAACATGGCTTATCTTGTGTTCTTATTCAAAGCACATTCTCAGGGGGGAAGGCAATGATACTCTCCATTCTTGGTGCTTGAGGGGCAACAGTGGGAGGGCTTCCTGAGTTTCCCCTAAGATCCAGGGGGTACCTCCCCGCCCTAAATTTAAACCCATTCTTGCGAGTCCTATCCTCTGCTGCCCTCCTCCTCCAAGTGACAGCCCTTCAGGTCCTTCAAGAGAGCAATCATGTCCCCCCTCAACCTCCTCTTCTCCACACTGAACATTCCCAAGCCCCTCAGCCTTTCCTCATAGGACTTCTTGGTCTCCAGGTCACTGATCATCCTCATTGCTCTCTTCTGTACCTATGGAGATTTATTTATTTATCTATCAAATTAGATTTTGATACTGCCCGATTCCCTGTAAACAGAGCTCAGGGCGGTGTACGATGACAGATAAAAACAACTGTATCGTGCTAGTTAAAACATTAAAATGACAATAAAATTTCAGTATCGATTCAATCAGATGGCGGTCAGACGTCCAACTAAACTACCACCTTGCGGGGGGAGGGGAAGGGGGTTACGAGTGCCAGCCAGAAGAATGCCATAGCTGTCCTCAACCAAACACCTGGCGGAACATCTGTGCCTATCTCGGCAGAGAGCTCCACTGAGTTGTGGCCAGGGCACTACAAGCCTTGGCCCTGGTTGAGGACAGCCGAATGTCTGTTGAGCTGGGAACCACAAGTACGCTCTTATAAGCAGAGTGGAGTGCTGTTCGGGGGCATTCTAGGAGAGGTGGTCCTGAAGATACGTGGGTCCCCAGACCATTACGGGCCTTAACAGAACACACCAAAACCTTGAACCTGATCTGGTGCTCAACCGGTAAGCAGTGCAGCTCGCACAACGCAGGTCGAATAGGTGCTGTTCACGGGGTCCCTATAAGGACCCACAGCAGTGTTCCCTGTAAGCTGAGTTGGTGTGAGCTAGCTCACGGTTTTTTAGCCTCCGGCTCAGACATTTTTTGTCTCGGCTCAGGAAGGAGGGCTCCGGAGCAAACAAATTTATGCAGCAGCCAAATCGCTGGCTCACAACTTTAATGCCAGGAGCTCACAAAGTAGGATTTTTGCTCACAAGACTCCACTGCTTAGAGGGAACACTGACCCACACCACCGCATTCTGGGCCAGCTGAGGTTTCCAGGTCAGTCTCAAGGGCAGACCCACACAGAGCGAGTTACAGTAGTCCAATCTGGGGGGGGGGGTGACTATTACATGAATTACTGTAGGTAGGTCAGGGCAGGACAGTGAGGGACACAGCTGGAAAAATGCCAATCTGGCAACATTTGTGATCTGGTCCTCCACTGATAAGGAGGCAACCAGAATCACACCCAAGCTCTTGACCGTTGGCACTGGTGTTAACGGCATGTCATCAAGAGCCAGGAGTATAGACTAATAAAATTTTTTTTAAAAAAGAGACAGGAGTTGGCACCCCAAACCCACATTCTCCCTGCCCAGCCACAGAACCTCCATTTTAGCAGGATCCAGTCTTAGCCAGCTGTATTAACCAGCCCACCACGGCCTCCAACCC